GCTAGTATCTGCTGCTAGCTGCTAGTATCTGCTGCTAATACGTGGTGTTTTTAAAATGATGTTTTTACTCAGTGTAACTTTCTGCTTATTTTTTTAAACAGGGTGGAAAGATTTTGGGCATTTTAAAGACATTTTTGGGGATTTTTCTGGTTTTAAATTTATGTTTTCTCTCAGTTTAACAGGACTTTCGTGTTTCAGATGGACATTTGGATCCTGCTTTGCAGCCTTTTCTCTTCTATTTTTCTTTAACTTAAGAGGATTTCTGTAAATAAATGTGTTCAGAGCTTCCAAACCAGGAACAGCGCTGCCTTTTTATACTTTTGAACTAAATAAATGACGCGTTTAAGTATTTTTTAGGCTTCAGATAAAGAAATAACAGCCCAGATTAAGTTAACTTCTCATTTTCCGGCTGATCCCCCAAACAAAGCAGGGTTTGCTCTGATTGGCCGAACAGGCCCCGCCCACAGCCAGGTTAATTTATTCAAAACGCAAGAGGTTCATTGGTTGGCCGGTGACCACGCCCCCTTTTACCGGATCAGTCAAAAATACCCCAAATAGAATGGAACCCAGAAAAAGAAGAAGTTATCTATTTATAAATTAAGTTATTTGATAAATAAGATTTTAGCGGCTTTTAACCCTGTAATGACTCCTTTTGCATAATTTAATGGTAGAAACTTTGCTTAAAATCCTATTTTACACAATCAGATATACCTGATAACAGGGGGCAGAAGACTACACAAAACATAATCTGGACTCATCGCATAGTAATAAATTATTGATATTAAAAATGTATTTCGGTTTTTTCTTTTTAAATATTTTGTTAAATGGCCAAATAAGGGATTGATAAGAGTATACTGCTTTCATACAGGATTTTGTTACACACCGTATATACATGGATTTGTAAGTCTGCGTGTATATGTACATATATATTTACTTATACTCTCATGTTTGATTTATGTATGTTATATTCTGAAAAATTAATAAATATATATATAAAAAAAAATAAAAAATAAAAAGGCCAAATAAGGAATTCAAGCCAAAAAAAAGTAATTTTCTGTTTTGTTTTGTTCTTGGATCAGACTTTAAAGGGTTAAATTAATTTTGAGGGCAGCTTTGATGTCCAACCTGTAAACCCCCCCCCATGAGGGCCGTCTCACCTGTTCCAACACCCGGACTGGACCAGGACCGGATCCGGCTGGAGACCTGGACTGGACTCCTTTCTGGAGAGGCTGGAGACCCGGGTGGACCTGGACCCCCTTCTGGAGACGCTGGACCCGGACTGGATCCGGACTGGAGACCCAGCTGGTCTCCCGGCTAGTCCTGGACTCCTGTCTAGACCTGGACCCTGTATAGAGGAACTGGACCCCCTTCTGAAGAGGCTGGAGACCCAGCTAGAGGGGTTGGACCCGAACTGAAGACCCGGCTGGTCCCGGATTTCCGGCTGGACCTGGACCCCAGACTAGAGAGGCTGGACCCGGACCGGATCCGGACTGGATCCGGACCCCCTTC